GAACATTGGTGCGTAAAGCCAAAGGTCCCGGGTTCGATTCCCGGCGGGGGTGTGACAACAGCAACAATTTTTCCCTCATTAATTTGAGGTAGCGTGTAGTGGGTAAAAAATTCAGAAATGAATTTTCAGAATAATATTTCATATTAAACTAACTCACTTCTAAAAGATATCTAAATTATATGTATGTTTAATCATAGTATATTCAGTATATAGTTACATTAGTTCGACGGATCGTTAACCTTGTAGGTCGGTTGGTCGTGGTTGTTGTTGTCACCTCTCGTAGTTTAGTGGTCAGAACATTGGTGCGTAAAGCCAAAGGTCCCGGATTCGATTCCCGGCGGGGGTGTGACAACAGTAACAATTTTTCCCTCATTGAGGTAGCGTGTAGTGGGTAAAAAATTCAGAAATTGAATTTTCAGTATAATATTTCATATTAAACTAACTCACTTCTAAAAAGATGTCTAAATTGTATGTATGTTTAGACCCTTTTTATGAATCCAAGCTTCGAGTCCCGTTTAAAATCCCGAGCAACGGAACCGACGATCCACCCTGTACAGCTACCGTATTTTCGATATTATGATAACACCTGGTAATAAACCACGTTCACGTATTTTATTTTAAACCAATTTTTGTTCGGTAAACAACAAATTCAAATATCGATCCTGTTTTAATAATCTCTCCATTTTCCAAGAAAAAATTTTAATATGAATGTTACCTAATAACGAAAACATTCTATAGGGGTAACGGGTAAACATAATAACAGGTAAAATTTGGAATTCTGGAAGTAACTCAAAACAAAGTAAACTTCGAAATATTTAAAATTGCTCAACTTTTCAATTAAGCTGTCGGATTTTAATAATGCATAAAATAAGGAAATTTATTTGTTACTTCCAGAATCTTTTCTGTTACGTAATTTCCTCAATCGTCCCATGCTTTTCTTTCGACATAAATATTATAAACATAATGAATTTACCTTTTATAGTTCCGATGTTACGTTAAAGAATTCAACGTGGTTTGAGATTAAAAAACCTAATGCAAACCGTATTAATATGACCTATTTCGAAATACAATAGTAAGAAGCTATATATACATAGGTAGCTCTATACATATAGTTTAATGTTTGATCAACAAAACTCCCTTTTCATGTTTATTTAGTATGTCGTCGACTAAGCGTCTAGTAAAGCAAGAGAGCCTTATAACGTCCCGTCATTCTATCTGTTTAGGACATAAATTCCTGCAGGATTTGCATGGCATTCTCCAGAAACTCTCTGTCTCTTCTACTGCCTGTCGCGCTCTATCTTTCACCCTATTCCCGTTCCTTCCCTTACCGCTCTGTTTGCCTGAGTGCGTTTGCTAGTTTACATGTGGTGAATAAGGTTTCGGGATATAACAACGAATTGTACAATGAAATATTACTGCGTGGGGACAAAATTTTCGACCATTTCGGTAAAGGCAAACGAAGAAAAGGCCAGAATGAAATGGGTTATTTTTTTTATATACTGGCAGACAATAATAAAATGCAAAAACAGCAAAAGATATATCTTTTTTGTCCGGTTTGTTATAAAATAAGTAATAACTCTTGATATTATGAACGGAAGCCACAAGTTGCAATCGATACAGTCGCATCTTTTATAACAACGCTTCTGAAAGCCGATAGCAAGAACGCAAGGAAAAAGAGAACAGTCGATTAAAGACAAGTGGTATACTTCGTTTACTTTTTGTAGCGATTTGCGGCGCAAAGTAGAAAAGAACATCACTAGGCCAGAAAAGGAAGCAGACAACTCTCAGCTAAACTCTTAACCGGTAAGGAGCGTATAATCCGTACAGTATTGCACGGAAAAATTGACCAATTCATCCACTACAATTGCATTGCTCAAATGTGCTGTTATTGGTACCATTTACTACTGAAAATATTAACGAGATGTTTATTTATATTTGAAGACATATTAAAGGCTTTAACGCTTGTTTTCGACTCGCACTACTNTCGTTTACTTTTTGTAGCGATTTGCGGCGCAAAGTAGAAAAGAACATCACTAGGCCAGAAAAGGAAGCAGACAACTCTCAGCTAAACTCTTAACCGGTGAGGAGCGTATAATCCGTACAGTACTGCACGGAAAAATTGACCATTTTATCCACTACAATTGCATTGCTCAAATATGTTGCATTTACTACTGAAAATATTAACGAGATGTTTATTTATATTTGAAGACATATTAAAGGCTTTAACGCTTGTTTTCGATTCGCACTACTATTCATGATTGAACAAAACTTTTGGCAGGTACTGTATGAATAAATATGTTTAATGAACAAGAGTCGAGAGTATAATGAACCTGTTTCTCCCTACCTACGATTTTGCCGGCGCGCATCCAAAACATTGGGAGGGGAACATCGCTAGAGAAAGTAAATGAAGTATATAAATAGCGCAAAAACAAAAAGTTCAATCAATTTATATAAATACAAATAAATAAGTGTACCTATATAGTATGTCACTGTGCAAAATAAATTGCTTATACATTAAACCTGCTTAAATATATTGAGATGTAAGTACACTTAAGTACTATAGCATTAAAACCAATAATTAAATAAAATTCCAAATGACTTTCTCTCCCAAGTTGGGTAGACACAAGAAACACATTTTCGGGAATTACGAATGTTAAGAAGGAGGGTCACGACCCTCAATACTATTACGGAGTAGTGAAACGACTCCACTACTTCACGTTTCGTAAACATTTTTGTAATAAAGTTTCGGTCGACCATCAGGGCATTCGTTCAAGTACTGATGGTTCCCTTTGAATATTTAATATGGTCCGTTCAGAATGCGATCAGTTGAGAGCATTTCCTTGTACGTTTCGTCACTTGAATGCCTATTTCGGAGTTCCTTTTTCGTCACTGCCTCTTTGAAAACAAGAGAAAAAACGAGCCTCGATCATTTCCACCCCCAGCACCACAGGCACCTTTCTTTTTAATCGTTAGATTTAAAAGAAAGCTTTATTAATAGCCGTGCAATAAATAATTTATAAAAGTACCTGCAAAATTGCACAAAGACGGTGGTATACGTGTATATATATATCGTATAATGGTGTTATGTCGCAATCAGAGGAAAAGGGATGTTATGAATGCTCTCATTTTTAAAACGAACGCCGTTGCAAAAGTTCAACTGTCTCGGGTCTGCTTAGCTCATCATTTTTCAAAACGTACGTGCGTCACAGATAATAAAACCGACCAAGTAAAAGGAAATGAATTTATATTAATAGTACAGTCATTTGGTAGTTTTGCCTAGAAAGTTTTCCGGGAGTTTTGAAAATTGGTAATTTTATAGATTTTGAGGTGCTCATTCCGAATTTCAACTTTGCCACCTCGTATATTTGCCGCTCGCACCGCCATATTGGAAAAATGGCGCCTAAATGCAGTTTTTTGGCAATATCTCCTTTCCAACTCATTTTACGATAAAAACAGTTA